ACAAAAAGTTCTTTTTTAGATCTACAACTCTTGTATTAAACATTTGATCTACAAATGTGATTAAGAAATTAGATAGCGTGAAACTACTTTTTTGTCATACTTGAATGGTTTTTGCTGATTGAACCAATAATAGGGCACATTATAGAAAGACTTGGTTTACAAAAAAGTTTGTTTTAATAAGTTCTACAACTTTTATATTCGATACTTCGTTTTAGAATTTGAATTAAATTTTGTAACAGTCTAAAAACGTTATATTTTAACAAGATCTACATTAAATGCGAAAGTGTAAAATGTATGTGAAAAAGCTGTCGCTGAGAAACTGGTTTTGAGTCTCAGAGCACTGCACTAAAAATGCTATCAAAATATTTTCTTTCGATGAAACTTGTCTGAATGTAATTAATAATAAATAATTACGTTTAGATAATTGTTATTTTTATTAAAATAATAATTATTATTTAAACTGTTAGCTTAGATATCCAACTCGAAGCTACGAACGCAATTAAAGCCTTCTTGGATATAATTATGTGAGTTTGTCGTTATATAAGGTTAAAAATTTATTTCATATTGAAAATAGACGATTTAATAGTAGTTACACTTTTTGTTCTGACAATATTATAAGGGCACTCCCATACATTGGTCGTGCCTAATAATACTCTAAAACAGTTGGGTTAATTTCTAATCACCGATATTTGCTCATCCTAGGGCACATTTTATTAGCAAACAATTCTGAAAAACAGTTAGACCGCTAATTGCCGATGCTTGCACGCTTAAGGGCACATTTTATTGATAAAAATACTTAATCAGAATTAGGTTGCTAATCGACGATTCTTGCTTGTCTAAGGGCACGTTTAATTAAGAAGACATTGACGTTTCTAAACTTTTAGCTCATTAGGTTAATTTATACAAGCATACACAAATCATGAGGTTTTTAATTTCTGTAAGTGTTAGAATTAGTATAATTTTTTTTTTTTTTTTTTTTACAACTTTTGAGATACGAAACCCACTGCCAGCAGAGCAGTATTTGTGAACAAAACCTTCTACATGTCTTTTCGATACCTTTACTCTACAAGAGTTTATAAAAGAAGGACTGACTGGCTATTTGAACTCCACTTCTATTCCTTTTGGGTTTGAGTGTCACAAGCCATTCACTTATAATGAGTAGTCTATCTTTTACATATCCATGGATACTTCTAAAATTAGTTCATTAAGTATGCACACCTAGCTTTTTTTAGACTATGGTTTCCGGCTGTCCGTGAGTCAAACTATTTACAACATATTCACTTGACTACAGCCGTATTGTAGGTGATGTATGAAAAAGAAATAAAATTTAATAAAATGCATCTGTGCATGTATTATTGATGCATGCATGAGTGCATGTACTATTGATTTTTATACTGCATTTAACATCCTTAATGTTTAAGGATAATAATGTATTTATGAAGTCTCAATCATAGTTCGTATATTTTTCTCGCAACCTATATTCTTCTAATTATAAATGCAGTTTGAATTTCAATATTGTATTTTATCATGGTACCAGAAGTGAGTTTTTTAGTAAAAGATGAGAGTATTGACACTTACTTATGCGGAGATAAATCAACTAGATTTTAATCAGGTTAAATTTTACAGGTAAAAAAAAATTATCTTGCTTAGCAGGAGAGCAAGTTAAGCCTCAAAACCATAAATCTACATAAAATTCACAGTAATAATAAATTCATAATAATACAAAATCATGTTATACAAAATTACCTTATTTAGGGGGGAATCTGAATGTAACTTGAAAAGAGTGGGTGAAAGAAGAGGTTTATGAACCCAATTTTTATTGGGTTGAATTTCACGCATAAAAAAAAGGAAAATTACTTAACGTACGGGGGGAACTAGGGAAGACTTGGTGAAAAGCTGGGGAGAGGGGGGAAGCTACTTATTACCTTAAAATCATACAACTTATTTCATACATCTTAGTTTGAGTTAACAAAATTATATATCTTTTATCGAGTAAAATGCAATCAATTATTCTTAAAAATTTTCAAAGACTGCTAATCTTCCAGAAAATTATGTTTTTATTTATAACTTTAATATTTGAGGAAAGAAAAAAAAGCGAAAAAAAAACTGGAATAAGCAAATTGAATATTGTATTTTCTAAAGACCGTACACGATATTTTTGGTAAAGTTATTATCATATGAAAAGCATGGAGCACCATAATTCGAAAATTCAAAAACATAAAAATATCAAGTTTAGAACATTAAAAAATACTGATATTACAATGGGTTTAATTGATCATACTACTTAAATCATTAAAACTTTTAAACGAGCTAGCAAAATTATGTTTCCTTTTCAATCACGACAATTTTTCACGACAAACACGACGACAATTTTTTTCGTAGTTTTGAAGTTATACTTCTATAGGCGCGTTATGCGCGGGGGTAAATCAACGATTTCAGATTTTGACTTTAAGAAAAAGTGTGACGGAAGTGGATTCTCTCCCTTCGCCCCACCCCTCGTGACGTACTTCCGGTTTTCTCTACACCACATGATGCCACATTACATCGCCATGCTACACATTTTAAAATTTATGAAGTTTTTTTTTTTTTTCTTTCAACCTATTCTTAAAAAAAAAGAAATGTGTCCAAAAAGATTTGAACCCCTGACCTCTCNAAAAACAGTACGGTGAAACATTTTCTACGCACTATTACGAAAAATCTTGGACACAACTTGAGTCGAAGGCATTTCAACTTAATAAAATCACACTCGTGATAGTCTATAACTACTCGTACAGAAAACTGTCTTTCCCGACATGAATAGTTATTTTAAAATTTTCTTCTAAAAATGCATGAAACCAACAATTATTTTTTTCCATACTAAAAAATACTTAAAGTATTGCTTTAAATACATGTGCGGCATTCAAAATAATACTCTTTCTTCTATTTTGTATTTTTTCAAAATTTTCAAAAATTAACAAAAGTTTTTTTCTATTGTACAAATACAATAATTAATTTTTATTGTATTTTACTCTTTTAAAATTTTTTCATACACGATTGAAGTGATTATTTGACTTAAGGACGTTCTTTACATAGTTTGTGGGGGAAAGTTTAGAGAAATGACAGGAACGCTAATGTGTACAGTAAGGCTAGCAATTCTTTTTCTTACGTGGATGTACTCATATACATGCTTTCACGCACACCTCATCCCCTCTTTCTAAATTTGTTAACCATTTAACTTGTGGGTCTAACTAAATATTCGAAAGGTTTTTCTAAAAGGAATCTTTTGTACCCAAAAAATTAGGAGATTCCTACAAATCATTTAAATACTATTTAATGTAATTTTTTCATATGGTTACATGTTAAATATCCATTTTTGTAAATTTATTATGTATAAAATCATGGTACAGTCAAACGAGCTGCAGTGTTTGTGGGTATTTTTTATGCTATTTCCATATACGTTTGACGTTTGAATAATATATGTCAAAAAAATCGTGACAGTGACATCAACTGTGATAGTGAAGCGATCTTTTTACACTTGTTTACACTATTTAACATAAGTATCGTTGCTTGTGGATTATAGCACGAATTAAAAGAGAAGTAAAAAAATTTAATGATCCATTGATCCAATCTTAAAAGAGTGATTTTTTGACGAGGATATTTCATTAACGACGTGGTAAATCGGTCTCAAATTAATACACATATTTTTCGACGCTTATGTTAGTTTTTCTGACAATTTCGTACCTTTTTAGATACTTCTGATTGAGGAAACAACTACCTTAAGCTATACGCGGCTCCATATGACCACGCCCTCATAGGTAACCTAAGGATTCAGTAGCGCGTATAGTATACTTAACACATGGTGCTAACTAACAGGTTGACCGAATAAAACGCTTCTGTAATTTTTAAAGCACTATTGCAAAAACTCGAATTTGCTATCTGATGGTTTCTGAACTTAACTTGGCTTCTTTTAAACATTTGAACAGCAGAACATTTACGCACTATTCGTACTGTTTTTACCGATTAGCTCATGTCTTTTACCTCTCATATAGTTCTAATATAATCCACCAGACAGCAATACCTGTACTCAAAAAAAGCGAATAAAGGTAGGTATAATTTAGAGTCACTGAGCCTGACCACATACATCACGCATACTTAATCATGCATTCTGAGGTAGCCAAAGGTTGTATTACATTTTTATTAAATTTATTGATTGTATATAACTAATTATAAAATACAATAAAATGAATAATTATTGCTTGGGATACTGATATATGGTAAAACGAAGCCAATTGTAGTCATTTTCACTTCCAAATAATAAAATTTCAATTTTTTATGCTACAGTAGTTCAATGATAGCATACAAATCTTGTGTGTGAAACTAAAAAACAGTACGGTGAAACATTTTCTACGCACTATTACGAAAAATCTTGGACACAACTTGAGTCGAAGGCATTTCAACTTAATAAAATCACACTCGTGATAGTCTATAACTACTCGTACAGAAAACTGTCTTTCCCGACATGAATAGTTATTTTAAAATTTTCTTCTAAAAATGCATGAAACCAACAATTATTTTTTTCCATACTAAAAAATACTTAAAGTATTGCTTTAAATACATGTGCGGCATTCAAAATAATACTCTTTATGAGCTGCAACAATAATTTGAGCATGTTTAATCTTGCTCAAGAAGTACTTGTAGATCTCACTACTTTAAAATTTAAAAAATTAAAAAAAAAAAAAAAAAAAGATTATTCACAGCACTTACAGGAGCACATAATTTTCGACTTTTTTTTAAGGTATAATTATTAATTATTTTAATTTCAGGTTATAATTATTTCAAATTATTACCCTTGAAACAAAAACAAAAAAAATCAGAACATCTTTTCAATGATCGTATGATAATGAACTACTGAATAGTATTTTTAAGTTTTAAAATAAACAATTTTTTTTAGAATTTTTTATTGTCATTCAAAAACAGTAAGTAAAAACTATTCAAGGATTTGAGTAAGTAAGACTGTTTACCTTTTCAAAATTTTCTCTTTCTTCAGAGTCCGCATTTTGGAGGCATCGGATTCTTGGTACCTAAAAAATTTTAGATTATTGTGATACTTACAAGAAACTGTCAATTTAAAACTTATAGATCCTTAAATTAAAATCAGATATTGTATATACATGAGTGATGTCACCGTAAATGCCTCAAAATGACTTCAAAAAAAAATCTAAAAAAATTGTTAAAAAAAATTTTTGTACATGGTATTCCTATTTTGAATACCATGCTTAATAAGTGTGCAAAGAAGCTCTACCACAAAATTATATGGCCGGAAGATAAAGACATTTTATTAAAAACGAATTTAAAATAATTTTTTGAAAACTTACGTCTGTTTCTGGTACATAATTTACGTTATAGTTAAAGTATTGTAATCTGACATAAATAAAAGCTGGGGCTAAGCCCTTTGGAAAAATTTTTTTTTTGTTTTGATTAGTGTCACTAATCTAAAGTTATGGCAATTGCAAAAAAGGCAATAAAAATTACTCAAATTGAATTACTATGTATATTTGTTGAAAATTTCTCTGATTGCAACCATCAAGTGATATCTTGAATAACTATCTGAAGTCAAAAACTTACTTTGAACATCAGCTGAGATTTTAAAAATGTATTCTTATTTAAAAAAAAATAATTTCAAAATTATTTTTATAGCGTTTAAGGCTGCACCGTTGGGGTTTCCATTTCAATGTTGCATCAAAAAACACGTGTTAAAAGTGTGTGAGCTCCCTACGGTCCGCAAACTTAGCATAGATGGCGTACTGCAGCTAAGAGAAAAATGGCGTTACATTGACAAAAATGGACTATCCGTGATCTCCGGAAGTCAGTGTGACGGAGATGTCGTCATATAAGTAAGTCCACAGTACCGTATATTGTCGTCGCTTATAGTAATAGTGTGTCAGTAATACCATTTTTCTCTTAGCTACAGTACGCCATCTATGCTGAGTTTGCTGATCGTAGGGACCTCATTGAGCTGATTTTTTCAAAAATAAAATAAATTTTTTATATTCACAGGTGAGATCTCAGGTAAGTGAATAAGTATTCAGGGGCTTTCTCAGATAATATATCACCTGAAAATTATTTCATGTAATCAATCTGACTCAAACTTTTCTCTTACTCATACACGTATCTACGAACACATTCATTGTGCACACAGATTTACTTTAATCACAACACACCCCTCTTAATGAATAATGTTCATTAAGTATGAATCGCAATACAACAAAATCAAATACTTTACATGTATTTTATAATTTAAGGTAGAAAATCCATGGGCTAAGTTAGTCAAACTAGTGAAGTGAGTCATTTACCATTTTATGACAGTTTTATAAGTTATACTGTATGCTTTTGTAATGGGAAAAATATTAATCAAAAAACTTATTCTTATTTCGTATCAGCACACCTACATATAAAAGACTAAATTAAAGTACAAATTTGGAACATTCGTACAGTATTTTAATAAAAATAGTTCGATTTGTTACATATGTCTTTAAAACTGTTACTGCTGTACTTCATTACATTTCATGCTAAAAACATATTTTTAACTTAAATACCTTAAAAAAATAGTACCGATAATTTACCTTTAAAATATTTTCAATAACGTAAAAAAGTTTATTATATAACATATTTTAAATTCAAGAAAAGTTTAACTTGTCATTGGCAACGGTTTTTTTTCCTTAATAGTTTTGATTAAAGAAGTAAGCGAGAAAATTTAAAGACTGGATACCTCCATAAATAAAATGACGGACTATTTTACAAACAAAACAAAATAAAAACCAGAGGTCATTGACTGTTTGGGTGCCCAAATATGAAATTTTACTTCTCTGGCAGATAACAAATTAACGTACATATACTTTTTACGAAACGATATACAAAATAACCCACTGCAATGTGTTAAAGGCAATTATCCTTGGAGTTGGGATATACGGTTATAAGATGGAATTTTAATAAATATTCAAGTATTTAATACGTGGAAAAAACCTGTCTCATACGCACACATACTCATTCTTAGTCGCGTACATGACACCCAATGTATATATATATATATAATATAGTTGTACGGTTTTAGAAAGAGTACTAGCTCCCTCCACTCCCTTTCAGCTCCCACCTAAATAAAGCAAAATTTGTTCAGTTTTCCCTATAAATAGAGCCCCCTTAATTTCAAGTCAACCCTTCGCTCCCCCCAACTGCCCCAGCTCCTCGTCATTGTACTTTTCTATAGTATATAGTTCTTTTGGCGAAGTTGTTAACACCACCCTGTCAAATTTTTTGGACCTCCTCCCTCTAACAGCCCCGCAGCAAATAAAGGAAAATTCTTTTGTTTTCTTCCTTATTTGTATAGACTTCATTTGTTTTTGAGCCCAACCACCACTTTTTAGGAGTCTTCCACCCTTCATATAAGTAACTGTTAGCCGTTTTCTCAAAAAAATTTTTCTATTTGAATTTTACTGTTGACATTTTCTTTAAGCTTAATAGAGAGCACCGTTATTTCAGCTATGATGAGATTGTATAAAAAACATATCTATTTTTCAAAAATAAAATAAAAAGTCTTTGAAAAATTTTTCTCGCATAGATATAGCAGAGCTCAATGAATTTTAGATTATTATAGTCACATATAATACAAAAAAAAATATTTAAACATTTAAAGATCCATTTTAACTGTTTGTCCATTCAAGCTCTCAAAATATGTTGATTTTAGTAGAATGACCCATATACATACAAGGTTACATTAATAACAATATTTTTATGTCGAATGTTTTTGTATTTTTGTGGTAGGGCATGTTTTCATTGTATTACCAATAGCCAAACAGTCCTAAGAACCACGGAAAGACAGAACTCTCTTGTACCTAATTTTGAAAATTAATTTTTTTCATTACTTTCGTTACAACTTTCGGTGGAGGTGTAAGGAAAAAAAATGTACGTACCACGGCCAGAAAGTAGAGCTACTATTGATCGCGCATTACCAGCCTCGCCTTCGGCTTAACCGATAATACAGCAGGGTCAGTAAAATCCCCACTTTCTGGCCTAGATAAGTAATATATCTCTTTGGGGTTGGTACGTGTAGCGTTAGATGTTTATATGAATTAATTTCTTTGCGTAAAATCAACTTTACCTGTTTGTTAATTAGGCCCTGACTTTAGCAACCATTCAGAGCGTTCTTCGCTCTCAGCCAATCACACCAGAGGGACGGATCCGATACTCCTCAATGCATGTTGTCTGCTGTTATTTTCATGCGAAAATTAAGAGGTTAAATTGTTGTTATAGCGTTTGTTATTACATCAACAGATCTTAACTATGTTTAAAATAATTGTAAGAGAAAAAGATACAATGAAAATCATTTATGTATTCATAGAACGATATGAATGAACCATTAATGGAGTAAAGATAAAAAATATGTAAAATTGCTTAAATTTTTTTTTTTATCTTAGAAATTGTAAAAACAATAAGTTTTTTAAATCCATTTTAAAATGAACACATTAAAGAAAAATGAATGAATATTTATTATTATATAGAAAAGCTGCTACTAAAAAACCATTTTTCCAAATCTGGAAAAAAATTATTTAATTATGTAAATAATTTATCAAAGGTTATAATAAATCATACATTTAGAAACAAATTAATTAATAAACATTAAATTAATATTCCAATGAAAAACATCTTTGGACCACACTATAAAAAAAGTAAAAGGTATATTTCCTTCAGGGATAGATCATGGTCAAGTGGATATCATGCTCCGCTGGTGTGCCAGAGATAGTGAGTTCAAGTCTAATGGAAATAGCGGAATAAAAATTGAAAATTTACTTTACCTCTGTACTTTTCTCTCAGCTCTATGACAAGAAGTGAGGGTGAAAATTTACTTACGTCACATATTTTTCGAAGGAGAAAATTATAAAATCGTTGATTTACACCCGTGTACAGTACACCTGCAGAATTATAACTTCGAAAATGTAACACTTCACTTCGACTAACATTTCAAACAAATTTTTGAAGTAAAACTTCTTATGTTGGGCCGTGAACAGACGCATGAGGGGAAATGCGTTATGAAAAAACGTGGCAACCCACCCTCCGGCTCAAGCCCTCTCCTCAATCTTCTCTCTTAAACACTTCCTCCCACTCCATCACTCTCTTTCGCAGCGCGCGCCAGTCACGCGACTTTACTGTCTACCGTTCCGTGTCTCTTTCTCTCACATGTATGCCACTTGCTTCCTTCCCCTCACACTGGTACTACACCTATACATGGATACAGAGATTATGGCTATGTTAGTACATATGTTTTTAAGTTAACGCTAAAACAATGCGCTTGCTCAAGATGAGGTATAGGTATGGAGAAAAGAGAAAAGAAGAGAAAAACAACAGCCGTACCTATACTAGAGGTAAATTTTATATATATATATAAAATAGTACCGATAATTTACCTTTAAAATATTTTCAATAACGTAAAAAAGTTTATTATATAACNAGTCTTAGAAAAATATATATATAAATGTATATGTATTTTGTATACATATATATTATACGTGTTGCACGTTCCCGATCATTACATACATGTTTATACGTATACATGTATGTAAAAAACGTGGATAAAGTATTACATATGTATTATACAACCATCTTACCTTTGAAAATAAGAAAATAGCTATATGTATATTTTTTTCCTAAACCACAATCAGATAGAGTGAATTATTTTACTTTTATGGTAGCCAAAATTAAAAAAAAAAATTATTTATCGGATACAATGATTTAAACAAGAATCGATTGTACACCTATGATACCATATCAAATGCACGAATAGTAATTTTAAATAAAAGGAATTTTTGTCCTGCGTAACTGGACAAAAGTACTTTCTTTTTAGCGTTATGGGAAAAATTTTTGTTTCGTTCTGCATTACATGACCAACAATTCGTACATGTATCACATATATCATAGCAAACATGGAAGTACTAAGAATTCGCGAATCACATTAAACATAAGTAGATGTATTTTATGCACGCACGTGCTCGAATACGTAATAATAAAATTTTTACTCTTTCAATATCGG